CCTGACAACAATGCAAACTTTGATAAGCAGTTCTCGATAATCACTTCTTAGCAATTATTTATTACAGTTTAACATTATAAAATTAACAAAAATAAAATAAAACTCATATTCTGGCGAAATAGTCATATGGTGGCTGAAAACCGTATATTCCCTTCTTGTTCTCCAGCCCATTCGTGCATTCTTTCCAAAAATTGGGACTTTCTTAAAACGCCGTGGGACATGGGACAAATTGTTGAAAAGCAAGACTATCCGGCCAAAATCAGGACGTCTGGTCACCCTAACTTAGGTAGAAGTTCTTACCCATTTCTTTGGGTCATATTCCTGGTTCTTCTTCTGTCCTACACTGCTACTGTGTTGGACGGGAGCCCTGATGGACTAGCCAAAGCCCAGTGAGATGGAAGCGTCTGCAAGTGGTCACTCCGATAATCAGCAGGCTTGTATCTTACAAAGCTATCCTGCGACATAGACTACTTCAGCCTTCCTTCAGAAACTGTTTCCTAGAATATATACTTCACAATGAAATTATACAGAAGCTATTTTCTAAAGAAAAAGCAAGAAGAAAGGATTGATTAATAATTACTTCCTTCTTAACATTATCTCTTAGAAATTTTAGGGGCACTGGAAACCAAGTGCTTGATATTTCACTCCAGAGAATACGTATCCTAGAACTCCTGGTGATTTTCAGAATTTCTCCTAATATTCAGGGAAAATACAAATGAATAAATATTACTATTTTTCTGAAGCCTCATTAACTCAGGATTGTAGATCCAGGCCTCATCATGAGCTACAGAGGTAATTAACAACTCTGAATATGTCACCTCAACATCTGTCATGAGAGGGACACTCTATCCATAACATGTAATGTTATAGAGCCATTAGAAATTAAATAGCTGTGCTGTGTCGATACTGAAGTGGAAAATTATGATAAATTCTTTAGAAAAGTAATGATTTGGAATACTATTCAGAGTATAATGTCATTTTTGTAAAAACAAAATGCAATATATAACTGAACATATAGGCATGTGCTTCATTAAGAATGAGAAGAACATGTTTTGACTGTTAAGATTGGGTCACCAGAGTTTATTCTTGGTAACAAGACTAAAGAAAATGGGCATGGTGTCAGGAGAGTGGGGCAAGTATTACTTTTTAATTTATTCACATCTCTATTTGGAATTGTGTTCATAAACATGTATTTCTATAATATTTTAGGCACATTTTAAAAAATCTTTATACCAAAAATGAGTCTTTCTGTGTGTCTGGTGGTTTGAAGCTCTATTCCACAAGGCACCATAATGTCAATCAGTAAATAGTACAAATGACAAGTATATGTCCACCTGAAGAAACTTCTTAAAATTACACCATAAATTATCTCCCATTTGTAAACATTAGCTGTCACATACCACAGATTGCAGGAAGAGAAGAGTGAAATCCAAGGCAGCTCTATGACAGAAATTATGGCATCTTGTTGGAGTGGGTTGATAGTAACAGAGGAGGACAAATGTATACAGTTTTAAAAGATGCTGAAGGTATGCAAGTATCTTCCTAATAATGCTATAAAGATGTGCTGCTGCTGAATCAGAATACTTAGCGTCTGAGGTACTGACAGGCATCCTTACACAAGAGTTCAACTCAACATAGAGGGGAATAATTTCCATGGCAACTAATCAATTGACTAATGAATATATTTGTATTGAGAACCTAATATGAGTAGGGGAGAGGTAGACACAAAGACAAATGAGAGCCAAGAATTGTCCCCTGATACTTACAAAGTACCAGGGAGCTAAAGCGTGTACATAGACTCCAGAACGCCACATGGGCACGCCATGCTGTGAACTAAACTAGGACTTCAGAATAGAGTGGTTGGATGGTCCCACCAAGGGGAAGTGTTCTGCTTTCTATTTTGTTTTGTTTTAGAATAGGAAAAACATGAGAATCCTTGCACACAGAGAGGGAGGAGTCAGTATAGGAGGTGATGAAGAGGGGAGAAAAGATATCATTAATCAGGTAGCCTTAGAACAGCAGTTCTCAACCTGTGGGTCGTGACCCCGTTGGGGGGCAAAAGACCCTTTCACAGGGGTCACCAAATATATCCTGCATATCAGATACTTACGTTATAATTCATAACAGTAGCAAAATTACAGTTATGAAGTAGCAACAAAAATAATTTTATGGTTGGGGTTGCCACAACATGAGGAACTGTATTAAAGGGTTGCAGCATTAGGAAGGTTGAGAACCACTGCCCTAGAAGAAGCAGAGAGACAGAGCACAGGCCCAGGGGAGAGGTCAGCCTTGAGCAGGAGGAAGGAAATTATTCTAAATACATAGAAGTAGGAAAAGGGCCTGAGTGAGGCTGAGACACTCTGAGGCAAAGGAGAAGGAAACCAAGGGCGTCTTCCTGGCTTTCCCAACCTGGTGAGAGGCGACTGTATTGGCAGAGAGTGGAAGAGTAGGGGTCGGCTGGCAGCTTGTAGGAAGATTTGGAACAGCCAAATCTGAAATAATTAAAAAGCCAATCTGAAATAATTAAAAAGATAGTGGAGCACCATTAAGGTGCCAACTGAGACTGAATAACATGAATTTGTAATAAAGCTAATTTTAAAAAATTATTTTTCGTTACTTTCTCTAGCCAAATGGCAGCCAGATACAGGAGTATAAAAATTCAGCTTGGCTGGAATGGATGGACTGTAGAAATCAGATGGTTCTCATACTGGATACTGCATGTGAAAATTCGTTGGAAATTAGTCAAATAATTGCATCATTACAAATTCTGCTTTATCAATCTGTGTCCTTTGCCCTACTTTTTGTAGTCAAAGTAGATAATTACATTTCTATAAAGAGATAGGAAAAATATCCTGTACTTTTAAATGCTAACCACCCAGGTGATACCATTAGAATTTTTGATGTTTCTAGCTTACAGTTGCTTCTCGTATGTTATGTATTTTTAGGCTGGAAAAGTTAATAACATCCTTTTTAGAAGACCAGGATCCAGAAAGTAGACTCGAGGTTGGCACTGATATGCGTAAAATCCATCACTGTTTTCATCATTTAAAGGTAAATTTAAATGTTTTCTGTAGGACATGTCATTTTCTGCCATGTCCAAGTTGCTTTTCTAGTTGACCCAAGGCCTGGAAAGTTAGAAACCAGCATCACATGTTCAGAAAATTGTGTGGCCTTTGAACAATGGTGTGATTCTCATTGAGTTTCTTTAGAGGTTGTATAAATAGATTCAGACCGCAGATTTCTAATTCTTCTGCCAGAAATCCTTACCTTCTGTCTACATAATATAGTTCCATATTCAAAGAACCATTTATTTTCAAGCTACATTAAGGGAATCGGGTCCAGCATTTTTTCCAGTAGTTTGGATTCATTCACACAACCCTCAGTTTTTCTCTGCCTTAGATTTTACCTTTCCTGATGAGAGTGAGAACATCATTAACTTTTCTTTTTACCTCACTTACATATTTTCATGCTTGATTAAGATAACAAACATTCACTGTGAGTTAGGAGGGCCAGGCGTAGATAAGGCAACATTCAATAAGGAAGTCATGGAGAAGACAGATATGCAAACAACACCTCCAGTACATGATAAGTACTACTGTAAAAATGTGAATTCAGAGAAGAGGAAAGGAGACCAAGAGGAGAGAGTATCTGAGTAGGAATTTCCCAGTTTAAGGAAGGAGCGATAAAGGAGCGAGGAATGAGGAAGGAGGAGGGGAAAGAAGGTAAGTGGGGTGGGGGAGAAGACCTACCAGGCAAATAAAAGAGGGAAATGAGAGCAACTGCATTTTGAAGACAATGAGGCAGGAAAGGGGCGCATGCGTGGTGTGAGCAGGGAGTTGTTAAAGGAAGAAGAATCAAACAAAGAAATTTGGAATAGAAGCATCGCCACTAAGCTCTTATTTCATCTTCCAGAAACTATTGAATGACAAGAAGATCCTTGGAAACTGTACCGTCTCCGATGAAAGCAAAGACCCAAACTGCCAGGAACCATTAAAAGAGGAAGAATATCAAAAGCTACGAGATATTCTGAAGCAGAGAGACAATGAAATCAGTATCCTTTGGGAAGGGGTGAGAAGCTTTCCCTCTACTGGGTTGAAAGGGGGAGTGAAAACAGATAGATAGATGTGTTCCCCCAGCCGCCTTGCTCCCAACTCACAGTGTTCCTTTCCATTGAGAAAGAAAGTGTCCCTGCAGCAAGCAAAATGTAGTAACAAGGGTGGCAACTAGAGAGAAACAGTATCGGTATAAAAGGAAAAAATTCTACTTATTTTGATTCTGATATAGTTACTCTTGCAGAGAACATTTCAGTTAATTGAAAGCCTGGGTTTTTTTTTACCACCTCTTAACATTAACATTTTTTTAAATATATTTTTTTGTCTACTCTGCGGTGCTCTTTCTGTTTTAGTCCTGAGCCAGTAAGTTGGCTGTTTATCTTTAGCTAGCTGACCGGACACCGAGCTGACCACAGCCTCACCATGGCCCAGAATTTGTGGCTGGTGTGTGGGTGAAACTCCAACGATAGCTGGAAAATGACAAATGGTATTTAGTTTATGAAGAGCAGAGATTGATTTAAATGTAACTTTTTATTTAAAAGCCAGCTCTACTTCTTTGGGTTCCACTTCCAAATGCTCCCAAATTTGAAAGACAGTGTAGCTGAGTGTTGAAGATAGAATTATTACTGGCTCTGGGAGGCAGTGAATTCTGGGTGCTGACAGTGGTAGCCGCCCCTGGGAGCATGTGCAGCCTCCAGCTGCAGGCTGAGTGAGTGGTCACTTCTAAAGAGCCCTTCCTGGGCTGCTTAAACCTCAGGACTCCCGTATTTCTTTAGTATTATTTCTCATTTTATCTTTCAAGCTTCTTGTAAAAGAGTTCACATTTTCATTACACTTGCAGAATCTGAACTTGCATAAGAAATCATTTTGGTCAGTTCTTTATAAGCAGATATGTTTGCTCATTTTTAAAATGAAGACACGTTAGCTTTAACTATTGTCTGAAAGGCATAGAAAGAGTCTACATGAAGGGAATCCAGTAATGAAGAGATAGAAACAAATCAAATAAGAAATGGGCATGCTGCCTAATTAACTTCGGTCCCTAATTTTAGTTGATTACTAGCAGAGCCTAGGGGTCAGATTCTAATGAGTTTTAGCTGCTCCATTATCTGGCCAGTAACAGTAAGTCAACTGTGAATTGCACTCACATGCAAGCCCTTGTCTGTGAGAGCTGCCCACTAAGGGGTTGTTATTCCTGCATTCCTTTTCCTTCCTCGTACTCTATCCTTCTCTAGGGATGGTCTCAGCTTGGACCTCAGTCCTGGCCGCAGCCCCATTCCGAGCTCTACTTCTTTTCCTGGCCTTGATCTCAGTCTAGGATTTTCTCCCCTACATACTCCTACCAACTTCTTAATCCCTTCCTGGGCTTTCCAATGTCTGTGCATTCCTATGGAGGGACGAAATGAGATATGACAGAGAGACTGTCTCGGCTTGTCCGTATATGTTATTTTTAAATAGTGAGAGAGAGATGTGCATCATCTGCCTTCCTCACAGCGGTGAATCCAGACACGGCTGCTCACATGGGGCCACCTGGATTCTCTACTGAGTGAATAATGCAAACAGAGCCTTCCGCCTGAGGCCGGATTCAGATCAGTGGTGTGTAAGGATCATAGTGGAAAGAATACTGAGCTTAAATTCATATCTGCATTGAAATCCTAGCTCTTCGTTTATTAGCCTTGTAACTACTCAATGAAGCTGTTTTCTGCTCTGCAGGAGCATAAGACCCACCCTTCCAAACTCACCACGCTGAACAAAGCCAGTGAGTGCTCTGAGCACTGCTGAGCGTTCTGTAAGGGAAGCTATGCCGTGTAGACAATGAGTGAACCCAGAGTAAGGAGATTCAATCATCTCAAAGTCTATGCTTTTCAAACACTAATGAAAAGAAAGGCTCCTGAAATTTTATAGTTACACAGAGTTGGTTTGGAGCAGTGGTTCTCAACCTGTGGGTCGCGATCCCCCAAACCTTTGGATCGCGATCACCTAAGACCATTGGAAAACACATTACAATTCATAATAGTAGCAAAATTACAGTTATGAAGTAGTAAAGAAAATAATTTTATGGTTGGGGGGTCACCACAACATGAGGAACTATATTAAAGGGTCGCAGCATTAGGAAGGTTGAGAACCACTGGTTCGGAGGATATTGTTATATCTTTCTTTGTAGAACCCAGAAGGCTAAGAGCATGACAGGAGGAATGGGAAAGCTATAGCTTCCAGGAAACAAACAAACCAAAAAAGATTATACTTGAGCTTAACAAAAGACAGTAATGCAACCAAAATGACTGTGAACAACATTGAACCTTCTCAGAAAAGGAGTGAAAATGTGTCATTTGAGTGACATCATCAGTTTAATGAAGTTCAGGTAGCCCTTCACAAAACATACAACAGGGTCCTCCAACACCTGGCCCAGCAATGGGCACAAAGCCATCCCTGGGGAAATGGGGAGTGAAGGATGGAGAGGAAAGATGGGGAGAAGAGTGGCAGCAAAGAAGATCGATGTGTACTGTGATCTTTGTGAAATACAAATCAGAACAAGTCATTTGACTGAGGTTTTCAGGGGCCTTCCCGGATAACAGAATAAAATCTGAACTCCTTGCTCTGGTTTTCGAGGCCCTCCGTGTCCTGCCCTTCTCACCCTGTGGACTCATTTCTTTCACCTCATCCACGTATGTGCTGTGCTTGGTCACACTTACCTTCCCGTTGACTTTCCAACATGAGGTTCCTCGGCCTTAGAGCTGTTGACATGTAGGGCTGGATGGTCATTGTTGTGGGGGCTTTGTTGTCTTATGTGTAGTAGGATGTGGAGGTCACAGGATTGTGGCATTAGAAACCACTGCTGGGCCTATTTCTCTTTAGGGATTTAAGTATTTCCTCTGCTTAGATGCTCTTTCTCTGGATGGTTCTTGTCATTCAGAGCTCAGCTGAAAGGTCAGTCTTAGAAAGGCCTATTTTAATTCCCAATGGAGACTAGCCACAGAGTCACTCCTGACCATCTTAAATTAGCAATCTGGCACTGTCACTCTCTAATGGTGCATATATATATGCATGCATGTGTAAGATCTGTCTTTCCCAGCAGGACATCTGTTTCATGAGTAAAAAACTAGTCCGCTTTTCATTGTTTTGTACCAATACCTAGAATAGTGCCTAGTGCATAGTACAGTCTCCAACAAATACCGTGTAACCTGCATAGTTTACCACTTCCCTACATTGACCTCCTCCTTTAGTTGACCTAGTTTTCATAGACCAGACTGTACCTCACGAACGTATCAGTATAGTGGCCCAGTTTGTTATGTTGACCATCTCTATATGTTGGCCAGTTTGTTACAGTCCCTCATGTGGGCAACTTACAGAGGTTTTACTGTATCACTAAGTGAGTGGACAAATGGATATTGCCACTGAAGTGTCTGAACCAGTGGAAATGTATGATGACATTGGCAGTCAGTTCCATGACATTGGAGGAGGGGATGATCTGAGTACAGCCCTGTTCTTCTCTGTCACACTGATGCATAAACGCTAAGAAGTTGTGAACATCTTTGGTAAGTGCGTGTTGATTGGTTGAGACAAGAAATGGAAGCTACATTGGAGATTATGAGGGAAAAGCTGATTATGCTTCTAGAAATCACCAAATGAGAACTGAGGCTAAGAAGGAAGAAGGAGGTCAAGTGAATTCCATGTCACTTTCCCAAGAATGGGTGTAATCCGGGATCTTCCCTCCTTTCTGGGTAGCAGTCCTCTGTCCCACACCGTCTTCCTGTTTCCTTAGAGCCTTATTTTAATGAAGCCATGTCTGGGGATGGTGGAGGCCTTGAACTCATCTTACTGCATTTACAGTTAGATTTCTGCAATTCTTGAGAGAGGTTATGGTCTTTCCTCCTAAAGGATGGGGCAAAAATCTCTTAGGGTTCTGGGCATCTGGAGCTCAGAATGGACAGTGAAGTAGAGTAGAATGGAATGATTTTATGACTTATCATGAATGCTATTAGCAAATCTAAATGGCCCACAAAAGGTGCATTTTAAAATGATATATCTATGCCAATAACTTACTTCTTTTCAGTTCTATTTAAGACCAAATATTAGAGGCTTAAAAAAATCAAAAGTGACTTTTAGTCCCCATTTGAATATACTCTGAATAAGTATTTGCTGGACATGGGGTAATTTGGCTGCACGTCTGTTGCATCTGTTGCAACACTGGCCATCAGGACTGAGCTGGCAGATCCACCGCTGGGTGGGGCTCACCAGCCTCCCTCTCCCCTGCTGCCTCCTGAGCAGATGCACCCCCTTCCCAGACAAAGGACGTTTCTGCTCACAGATGTAGGTGGACATGACGCCATCTCCTTCTACTAGTCAGTGTTCATTTGACTTGTCATAAACTCCTTCATAAAAAATTTAAGCCTTAACTGGTTTAAACTCAGAACACTTTAAGGACCTTTGAGTTTTCTAATGTTTCATATATTGGTGCCATATTGAAAGACCGATAGTCTCCTAAATTGTCTGGAACTACACATAGGGCTTCAGGAAGCTGAAGTCTTCCTTTAGTCCCTTTAGTCTTTCTCTACCATATAATAAATAGCGATTATTAGGAATATTAATTACATATGAGACATCTGTGTTTTGATTTCTACAACATATTATGAGTCATTAAATCCTTAAGTCACGTTTCAGATATTCTGGTCAACATGTTAAAAAAGGAAAAGAAGAAAGCTCAGGATGCTCTTCACTTACCTGGCACAGAGAAAAACGAGTTGGGCCACCCCCAGAACACACCCTTCCCCCGCGGGAACCCAGAGGAAGGTCAGAGAATGCTGCTGTCTTCAGCTTCCACACAAGCCCAGGATGTCAGCGCTTTGGAGTACAGGCCCAGCTTACTCCACCAAAAAAAAGGTCAGTTGCCTAGATTTCTAGTGTTCCTCACTGTAGTGAATTTCAGGATAGCATTCTTTCATTTTGAATGTGCAAGGATGAAGGTTCTGGTAATTTATTTGTTAGAGTTATTTTTTGTAACTACCAAATCCCATAAGTACCCATTTCCCAAATTGATGACTCAACTGAGAAGAACCAAGTATGAATTTCCACAGAGTTTAGGGGCAGAAACAGATGGGTCTGTACAACAATATAGAAGTTCCCTTTAGAAAAAGAGATCAGAAGCCTTTCTTCTCCTGATCATCTGGTACAAGAGGGAAAGAAGACAGGTCGATTGACACGAGCAGAGGGATTGGCAGAAGATACTAACACCACATGACCAGTTAAGAGGTCGTTGTGGTAGTCTGGGCCAAAGGATAGAGATGATGAAGGAGAGGTGGGGACATCTGAAGCATTTACAAAGGTCCAGCAGCTAGGGATCAGTGGCTAATTGGATAATTGGGGGGTAAGGTGAGGATTGGCTCCCAGGTCTCTGAGTGACTGGAGAGGCCCTTCATGGAGATAAGGAACAGTGAGTGCTTTCCTGGCCCCACAGTCCCCCCAACTGGCATTGTTTGCCATAGAGAAACGTGTTGGTATCTCTGCTGAAATGAAAGGTCATAATCAGTACCCCCATCAGAACCCTATGGCTTGTGATAAAGGGAGCTGTTTGCTGGCAGATTCCAAAGACACTACATGGATCATTACAAAAAAATGAAATCTACACAGATGGAAACAAATAAAGCCCTCCTAGCTGCACCAATAAACCAAGCAAGTTGAAATTTGCACAGGTGAACCAGAAAGGATGCCGGCCACTGTGGTTCTCAGAAGTGAAATAAATAATGGGCCATAACACAGTCTGTCTCAAAACTTTCGTAGTGACCTGGGTATTGCAGCAGTGCAGAAACGGCCTCAGATACCACTGCCCACTTCCTTGTTGTGTGCCAGACCTTTTCTATTTCTATTTCTTCTTGCCACACCATCTCTCTTCTCATAATTCTTCTTCCCCACAGCATCTCATAATCTTTGTCCTCCCTTATAATTATAGTCAACGTTTTCAGTAACTCTTTCCTCCCTTGATAGTGCTGTTGAGACAGACTATAATTTTGTTTGAAGAATGAATTAAGTTTACATGAATAGAAAAATCACTTTAAAAAAATGGAAATTGTTTGTGAAGTCCAAGTACAAATGAGGTAAACATTTTGGACAAGAGCTTTATATTTGGAAGGTTTTTGCGTTGTTTTAACTGTCATTGGATATATTGTAGCAATAACTTTAAATAGAAACATGCTCACAAATGGACTGATAATGATCTAGCTGGTCGGGGGAAGGACTGAAGGGGGCTGGATTTTATTTTTTGGCAAAACTACAAATAGGATGAAAATCGTTGGGGGTGGATCAGTGCAACACAACAGGTAATGGGATTCGCTCAGTTCATTATGATATTTGAGATTCTAGGAGCTGATTAGGTTTTTATTATCACATTATTTTATATACAAGAAACTTTTGGAAACTAAAATACAAAATACAAATACAAAAAAATGAATAAGCTTGTTGTTTTGAAACTGTTTCTTCCCTTTGTGGAGGTTTCAGTCTCTCTAGGGCTGTTTCTGATGCAGAAAGCAAGCGAACCTGCCTGTTTCCCCTTTACGGTCCCTCCCTCTTCTACTCACCTCCACTTTTTATGTTGAAAATAAGTCTCTTCAAACTGGAAAATGACACGAAATTCGTGGTGCACTAGCGACCGTCAGAGTCATTGTACAAGCAGTCTGCAAGGCAGAGGAGGGGGAGGGGCTTTGGGGCTCTTTGTTGTTTTGGAGTTTAAATTTCTGTTTTGGTTTGTTTCAAATAATGAGAGGGATTGTTCAGCTTCACAGTTTGAAAAGAGTCACCAATATTGTTCTCTTTAGGGGGAGTTTTGAGGTTGGGTTTTTTTTCTTTTCCTTCTTTCTGTTTTAGTTTTCTGACTGTGAATTCCAAATAATCACCTGGAACCAGTCAGTCTTCCAAAAACTATGATGACTCACCACATTCTTCAACCCTTGAGACACTCAGGGAACTCCCTTATCTCAGGTGGTGCCACTGGCATTTTAAAAAGTGAATTGAAAGCCAAAGTTGTACCCTGGAGGCTCCAGCCCCTTTTTTCCTCCTCACTCCCTGAGAATTTGCTGAATCCCCACAAAAGTGCCTGGAGGGACCCACGGTAGGAGTTGTAGGCAGTGCCAAGGTGAACTGAGGACTTGCCCCTGCTGACTTGCGAAGCTTACATTTAAATAGTGGGGCTGGTTTATACCCAAAGAGCGGAGAATGAAATAACAAGTGCTCTGTGCAAGAGCTACAACCAATGCTGTGGGAAGAAGGGGAAACTTTATTCTTATTGAATTTAATGCTGACATGATTCCTATTTCTCTTACTTTGCACCATATTGCGCAGCATAGTGATATAATAAATAATAATGTACATTTCAAAGTTGCTAAGTGAGTGAATTTCCTATGTTCTTAACATAAAAAATGGTAAGTATGTGAGGTGATGGATATGTTCATTAGCTTTATGTAATTATTGACGTTGTCTTCATAAATCATGACATCTCTTTGTACCTCATAAATATATCTGTCCATTCACCATTTGAAAAATAAAAATTAAAAAAAAGAATAGTATGACCCAAGGTTTGGGAACAGTGAAGCAAGGAAAATCATGTAGAGTTAGCAGAGGTATTTGTTTAGCTGGGACCTTCGAAGTATACAGGAAGTTCAAAGAAATAAAGCTAGAAAAATAAGTGAGAAATTGCTAGGATGGGCGCTTCAGGGAGAGAGAGAAGAGGAATACACGGGGACTTCTCTTTTAACCTTTTAGGCTTTCATACTGTTTTAATATCTTACATTTCTCTATTGCATGGATGGGGGGAGTGGCAGTCTATGGAAGTCCTTGAATACCAAACCAGGGAATATGTTTACTTGACTGAAAGGGAACCACAAAGCTGAAGGGGCTGTAGTGAGAGTCATGCCCTGGAGAGGTATTTTTGAAAACCTCTTTAGGGTCTATTGGAGATGAGTTTCCTAGACACCAAGTAAATGTTTCAGGAACTGTCATAGCCCAGGGTGAGTGTGATGGAGGCATAAAGAAGAGAGGGCCTGAAGAGGGACTGTGCCGGGCCCACAGCAGGTCTCCATGGGGTAAAGGAAGCTGTTTCTTCTCTCTCTTCCCACTTCCAAAGGGCTCCTTGGCACTTGATTCCAATGATGCAGCTGTAGACACAGGCAGAAGAGTGGAGGAGCTGGTGCTCCCGCTGGAGACTGCTTCAAACCTTGAGCCAGTTCCTTGGATTTGTGCTACTGTTGCTCAAGACCAATAGCCTCTATTTATAAAGCCTAATACACCTTATCTTCCATTAAGTTAAAATGAAAAGCTCAAGTAAAAGTCAATGGAGGCAAAACGTGCTCATAAACAGCCAGAGAAAAAGAATAAGGGCCCCATTATTTCTAAGGTTCTTTCCAGCTTGCTTTGTCACAGGCCTCAGGCACAAGGCCAACCTCTGCTTTTCACATATCTTTTCACATATCTTTTCACATATCTCATGATCCTGTCACTTTCTTTTTTGTAACTGACTACACTTTCATTTTTGCATTTTCCCATAAATGCAATTAAACAAACAGTGGGTAAATGGACCATTGCCTTCCCTATTGCCCTGTGGCCAATAGCCCTTCTGCAGATAGTCGGGGTTTATTTAAGTGCTGCCACAGAGAAATGCATCTTTGCATCCTTCCCGTTTGAAGGATCTATCACTTAGATGAAATTAATAAATTACGCCTGAAAAAAGAGGGGGGTTGAGAAGGAAAGAGTGAGAGAGAAAAGACAAGCATGCCAGAGCGAGTGAGTGTGCAGACCTCTGCTCTCAGGTCCAAAATCAAGACTCTTACCCGCTCTCAAATGTCTGTTTGTCTAGTGGCCTTTGGGATGCAATGAGGTCTTCAACTTTAAGTCACCATCTTCTAGTACCTCAGAAGTGCTTGATCTATTTGGGGGGATAAACAGGTAGATACAATTTTCTTCCAGTGTAATGAATGCTCAAGAAAAGGACCTGGATAGTTGAAGATTCTTGCAAAAAAAAATATTTCAATCAGTCACCAATTCTAGACTCTTTGAGGAAAAGAGGGAGTGATCAAGACAAAAAACACAGATTCTAAACTTGCGAAGGAGTCGAAGAACTAGAGGTATCAGCGTCAGAAAGTAGTTTGGTAAAATGATGTCTATCCCCTACAGTCATTAAAATTCCCCACAGAGACAGGTGGGTTAGATATATAAAGGAGACCATGACTCTGGTGTCCAGCAGGGAAATTACTAGAAGGGAGGTCCACTGATGACAGTGAAGGGCAGGGAGAAAGGAAAATATAGCCAGATAGAATGAACCTGGAAGGGAAAAAGAGTTGCTTGTGTTGTAGTATTTACTTGTTTGTGTATTTTCATCAGAGTGAATGAATATTGTTCTAGAATCACCAAGAGACAACAGGTAGAATGCAGACCAACGTGATCCTCTTCCCACCTAGCTACAGGAGGAATTATATAGACATTTTTCTCACCTCTTCCTGAAGTTTGAGGTGAAAGGCCATATTTATATTTAGTTATGTTCATAAAGTAAGTTGGGTGTCATCTGGTCAAGAAAATGAATTTTTCAAATAGGAAGGGTACCTTCAAATCTCTTCTAATGAACTGCTAGGGGAGAGGGCACTTACCCAGGGCTGGTAGAGTACCCTAACAAAACAGTAATGGAAGAGCATTTGCCCAAAGCCATTGACTTATATGCAATAGAAAAGTTAACTATGGTTCTGGGCATGGGAACCCTATTTTTTGGCTCTAGGATAAAAGATTATAAACACTTAGACTGAGTCAGAACACAGATCATTTTCATTTTATTAGATATTACATTTAAAAATTACTTCGTTAGTGTATTATTTTGGGCTCAGGTTGCATTTGCCCATGCCTAG